GTTCATGGTCTGACTCTGGGAATTATATATGCATACTATGGACTTGTATAAAACGAAAGGATGTCGCGACCATACTAAACGTCATACCATCTGGACCTTCATTCCTTCCTAAAATTTATTCCTGAAGTGCTATCAAGTAGCGAGTGTATTGTCAGATGTAAGCGACAGTAGCAAAAATATTGTGGACTCTCAAGACTCTCATAAATGCCGTATACGGGAAAAAATACATAAGCCCAAATGAGTGAAATTGGGGTTATACATATTTTTTTAGCAACAAGTATAATTTCTACAATAATTTTACAAAAATAAGAGGATTTATGTCTATAAGGGCGTCAGGCATAATCGCAAGATAGTAAAATTAGAAATAGAGATGCAGGAGGGAAATAGGAAAAAATAATATAGTTCTCAGCAAGTTACGTCAAAATAAAAGAAAAGTCTGTGGAAGTTCATTTGTGCCAATTATAATTTAGTAAATAATGAAAGCAAGTGAAAAAAGAAACAATATGCTAAAAAACTAGAAAAATAAAGCTATATATATACACGAATGCATTCAGAAGTAAAGAAAATAAATTTTGCCCCAGAAATTATGAGATTACAATTTGGGGTTAGGATATATTTTTACGAGAATAAAATGGAGTAGGCGGATCGAGTAGAAGCGGATTGGAAATAATAAATTTGAACTAATGATCTTTCTCGCGATCTATGTTTAACAGATAAAGTATGCATGACACACTTTACACAGTGGTAGGTGTTTCGCCTGCGTTAGTCGTTCAGCCAAATCAATCAGGCCAGCTGGAAACTGACTAAATTGGCGAGGTGAACCCCCAACCAATGAGGCTAAGCCTGCTGCAGTTGGACTAGCTGGCGTACAAGACTCAGTCACTTGACCTACTCTAGCTGTGGAGACGGTAACTCCAGTGGCAGCAATCGATGAAGGCCCGGGAAGAATACTGGCCTCGAGACAGCAGAGCCTTGGAGGCAAGCAATTAAGATGCATAGCTGCAGGGCAGTCGTGAGTTGAACACTGAACAGTAAATAGAGAAGATTAGTTTTAAGACCATGATATGAAATGTAAATGGTTTTGAGTAGATGACCAGAGTCGATTAGGAACGATGAATCCTATTAAAAGTCACCTCATAGGTAAATTAAAGGGTCCGATATGCATTAAAATTACATAATCAATTGCACTCCCAAATAATATGGACCATTAAGCTGGAAGGACAATTTAAGTTAGAGCTAAAGATTTCTAATTCATATAATAATTTCGTATTGTGTTTTGACTTTTAAGCAAAACTACAACGAAATGCATTATAGAGGATTTATATTCTTCTTCGAACGGTTCATTAACTGTGGAACCAAAGTTTTACAAAAAAATGTGGTCACCATCACAATATATGATTATAACAATGCTCTTATTTATTCATTCATACGAGGGCTAAAAGATTAGTAACAATAAAAACTAATTAATGTAGAAGATGTTTGACCTTGTTTTCCCAATTTGGTCATATTAGTAGGAATATCTATAGAAACGAACCTAGTCCGGAGTTCACCGTATGCATGATAATCTCAAGTCGGACCGTGGACGATTCGCCGGCATCATCAGCGAGAAGTGCCACTCCCAGCACCACACTACAACTCGTCAAAGAGACAAGTGAAGTCGATCCTTTGACCAATTGTCTGCTAAACATTCATGGTATCTCTCCTGCTCTGGGCTATTCCCTAATCCTATATCCTCGTATCACCCCATGACTATCACAATTTTTATTTAAATGTGGCATGGTGTGCCCGTTTTTAGCGGATTTCATGAGAACTCTCCAAACCCCATGCTGGCTTTCTCACCCCCTCACCCAGCAATCCTCTTCCCATAGGCCTTATCAGTCGCCTTCTTCCCTCGTAGGATCCGCCTCCTACCTTCCTAGTTCAGGTATTTAACTCAACCCCTGTCACCCTATCTGCACTCCTGGAAGCGTCATTTTCCACAGTCTCAAGCCTTTGAGACCTCGCTGAGTAGGCCCCTAGAAATCATGATTCTAAAGTTTAATGGGAGATCAACATGAGAATAAGGAGCCCGAGTAATTATCAAGATCAAGCATTTGCTTCACGGACCACGGCTACGATTAAACACCCCTATTGTTATAGCAAATGAATAGGTTTTCGAGACTACCAATAGATCAGATACATGAGTTGTGTTCACTCTATTTAGTTTAAGGCGATGAACGACTGGTAATTGATTTTTCCTACAATGATAAGTCCTATGCAAGGTCGAAACTGCAGTCTATCCTGGATGGGAACACCTTTTGGGAAAGCAAGGCGATGTGAAATTCAATGGAAACGTCAGTTCTACTCATATGATTTTGGAAAAAAAGCAACTACCAGTCCTTCATAACCTTGAACGAAATAGGGTGAACACAACTCATACGTCTAGCTATAATCTCCGCCGCATAAAACGCGCTTCTATATATAGTGCCAAGTCTATGACTTCCTATACCCTAACCTCTCGTGTGCCAGCCTACAAATGTTGTGGTTCTACAGTAAACCTAATTAAACAAGTAAAACCACAATATTTGTGGGTTGGCACAAAAGAGACTAAGGCATAAGAAGTCATAGGTGGTGGAAGCAGATAGATACGGCGGAGGCTAGAGCTGGTTGGTTCAAAGTAGAAGTGTTTGACCATATACGTGGTCTGAGGCAAAGGCTTGAGCATGAGAATTACTCGGGTCCTTTAGCCTCAAGTTAGTCTCCCATTAAGCCTGAAAATCCTGATTTTCAAGGGTCTACTCAGAGGCAGAGGTAGGTGTGCTATCAAAGGCTTGATACAGTCGGAAATGACGCTTTCAGTAGTACAGATAGGGTGGCAAGGGTCGAGTGACATATTTAAACCAGGAAAGTAGGAGGCAGAGCCAACAAGGCAAGAGGGAGACTCTGATAAGACCTATGGGAGGAGTGCAGGGTGAAGGGTTTGGAGAGTTCTTATGAGATCCGCACAAAAGGGCACACCATACCACATTTGAATATAAAATTGTGATAGTAGAGGGGTGATACGAAGATAGAGGATTGGGGAATAGCCCAGGGCAGGAGAGATACCACAACTATTTAGCAGACAATTGGTCAAGGGATCGGCTTCACTTGTCTCTTCGACGAGTTGTAGTGTGATGCTAAGAGTGGCAATGCTCACTGACGATGCCGGTCAAACGTCTAAGAATGTGCCATGCCCATGGTCGGACTCTGGATATTATCATGCCTACTATGTACACCGGACTAGGTGCGTTCCTCTAGGTCTTCCTACCAATATGACAAAATTGCGAAAACAAGGTCAAACAATTGCTATACAACGAAAGCAGACTGCGACCATACAAAAGGCCACGCCATCTTAGTCTTAATACCTTCGAGTAGACTAATTAATTTAGTCCACTTACTCATATATGACTGCCCCAAGCATGGTAATTAAGGCTGATTAGGAATAATTTTCAACAAGTAATGAGAATATAATAGAGATAAGGGATCGTTAAGAAAGCG